GGACGTTCTGCGCCAAAAAATGAAACGTAAGGACGTTTTGCTCAAAACCCGTCAAAGATAGGGACGTTTTGCGCCAATTACCCAAATATTATTATAGATGCAATAATAAATGGCATATTCGGTATGTTAATTACAAATTTGGTAAGTTGCATATACGGTAAGATGCATATTCGGTACGGTATGTTAATTGCATATTCGATATATGTTGTAAATCCAGTATGTTAGTTGCATATATACGGTATGTAAGTTGCAAATCCGTATGGTATGTTAGTTGCATACACGGTAAGTTGTATATTCGGTATATGTTGTAAATCCAATATTTTTTAATTTGATAAACTTGCACTAACAGCCAGTTGTTCCCCATTTTGCCTTCATTTTTAGGGGAAAAAAAAAAAGAGTTGTTAGTGGGCCCCAAATGGCATGACAGGTTTGACTTTCATTTCACAATAATTTTGGCTTGTTTGTCTAACGGTCATAAAATACATTATCATTTTTGGCCAAAATGATTACCAAATAGGGGCTAAGTTTCCTTGATTTAGTCCAAATTAAATTAAGTTAAAATACTTATTTATATTTCTCTCAATAATAATAAAATTATGTTACGTTAATAATATGTTTGCTCTATAAGTTTGATCATCTTAAATTATATTAAACTTTATTAAAAGTGCACAAAATTTAAAAGTCGGTTATTCTAATGTAATCGAATATTTATCTATAATCATAATTATATTGTAAAGAAGCATTTTTCATGTTCTTTATGGTTGATGACTTATAATTTTCACTTCAAATATGCAGTTTGATCGCTCACAATGATCCAGAACTCATTTACAATAGGATGGGTCCATTTCCCTACTATATAAAAATGGTACTTTGTAGTTACTGTAGATGCAATAGTAACTAATGAGATGTTACTATAGATGCAATAGCAAACTGCGTATCTGTTATGTTAGTTGAATATACGTTATGTTAGTTGCATATCCGGTAAGTTGCATATCTGGTACGGTATGTTAGTTGCATATGCGGTAAGTTTACTTGATTTAATCAAAATTAAATTAAGTTAAAATACTTATTTATATTTCTCTCAGTAATAAAAAAATTATGTTACTTTAATAATATGTTTACTTTATAAGTTTGATCATCTTTAGTTATGTTAAATTTTATTAAAAGTACACAAAATTTAAACGTCAGTTACACGAATGTAATCGAATATTTATCTATAATCATATTTACAGTGTAAAGAAGCATTTTTCATATTTTCATTTTTTTCTACTTTTTTCATATTTATTCATTTTTTTCTCCGTATCCGTATGAGTAGAGGTGTCAATCCGGGTGGTCCTGGCCGGGTCGACCCGCCAACATATGAGTCCGGTAACGGCCCGCATAAAAAAAAGCCCACGTGCTATGGGTCCCAGGCCAGTTCCGGGTTGGCCCACAAATTTTGGACTACAACCCATGCCCGTCCGCTAACCCATCCGGGTCTAGCCCATGCGGGTCACGGGTCACGCGGGTCGCGGTTTGTTTCGATTTGACCCGTATCATTGTATAAATAAAATTATAAAAATATAGAATTTTTCATATTTATAGCAAAAAAATATTTTTTTTGTTAAATGTAAACTAAAAATTAAACAAAATGATAAATTCATATTTATACCAATAAA